GCCCCTTTAGGCCCTGGAAGGGGCTCTCAGGTCTCCCTGAAGCCTTCTCTTCTCCAGGTGAACCCCCCAGCTCTCCCAGCCTGGTTCCAGAGCAGAGGAGCTCCAGCCCTTGGAGCATCTCCATGGCCTCCCCTGGACCTGCTCAGAGAAATCAGAGGAAATTTCTGGTAGGGATGGTGAGGGTGACAGTGACAGGGTCAGTGACAAAGAAGAAGAATTCAGACAACATCTCAACGTGGGAGAACACAAGCACTGGGAGGGAGAGCCCTGCTCGATCCTGCAGCCGAGTAGGGGAGATCAGCCACCTCTGACATAATGGGGACACAGAGCCCACAAGGCACTCAGTGCATCCCATTCCCACACTGCCTGGCAGCCCAAGGGGCACAGAAACCACGGCTCTGAGCAGCAAACTGGTGTTTGTGAGCTGGCAAACACAGCCTTGGACACAGATCCTGTGCCTGCCCATGGCCCTGAGGCTGGGGGGGGGCGGGCAGTGACCCCCCAGCTCCTCTCACAGCTCCTGCACAGAGATCCCTGCTCAAGACAGACCCTGCAATCCTCTAAATCCAAAAGGCTCTGAAATGCTGAGGCAGCTCTGGAGGGCTGAGGGGACTCCTGGGAGTATCTGCATCCCAGAAAGGCAACAGCCACTGGAGGTTGGGAATGAACCCTGTGTCCCCCCTCCAGCCCCAGCCCAGGCTGTCCAGGGCTTTGTGCAGCTGAGTCCTGCAAACCCCCAGGGACAGAGGCCCCAGCTCTGCTGTCACCTTGTGACATCACCCTCACAGGCAAGGGGCTGAACCTCCCAAACCCCATTTTCCTGCCTGTTGTCTCTGAGAAGGAACTGGCCCTGTGATCTTTGGCCAGGAGCCATAGGCTGCTGGTGGTCACCCCCAGCCCCCTCCTGCCCAGACCCAGCTCCCAGAGAGCCCTGTACCCCAAACCCAACAATCTCAGCCACCACTGCTCTGCCCAAACGGTTTCTGGTCTCTCCCCTCCCTCCAGACACCCCCAGCCCCCCAAAAAACTCAGCGCACACAGGACCCAGGTACCTACTGCCTGCACTGTCCCCCACGAACAGGGGGCTGCAGGAGGGCTGAGATGGGTCAAAACACAGCACTGTGTCCTCTGGGCTGGAAAACACACACAAAAAAGACACTTTAGTCATAATTAGCTCCTACAAACAGGACTCAAAACCAGAGTTTAGGGGAAGACAGGGGTGGGTGAGTCCTGTGGCAGCTGGAGGCAGCTCAGCAGAGGGAAGAGGCAGAGTTGGAGTAAAAGCCAGGAGCTGATGCCAGCCCACAGCAGCACCATGTGCTCCTTCTCCTTCCCAGACCAACAGATGGGGAGAACTCCAGCAGCAACAAGGGGGAATAATCCAAAAGGACTCAGAAAGGGCACTTCTGATAAACAGCAGCGCTTTGGGGTGGCTGACAAACACCCCAAGCAGGACCTGGATGCCCCAGGGAGCCTTTTCTGGTGTTACTGTGGGTTCAGTATGATAGAGGGGCTGTTTGTTTATCCCATCAGGTTAAAATATTGCTCTCCCACCAGGATTTCATACACCTGCTGCAGGAGGAGCCTCACAGCAGCTGCACAGGGAAGAGCCACATAGCAGGGGTGGAGGCTCCACATGCCTGTTTTTTTGAAAAATACACTCAAAACTCTGCTGCCCACGTAGAGTAAACACAGGGCTTTAACTGCAGCAACATCAGTGTTCTGGCCTCCAGCCTCAGCTGGGATTTGCTCCCAAAAAACCTTCTATTTCTGTCCCTCCGTTGCAGGAATTACTGCAGGGGGAAGCAGCCCTTGGAAGGGTTGTCCTGGAATCCAGGGCCAGCCATGGCTTGGAACATTCGTGCTGTCCAAGGCTCAAGAGCTCAAGCACAGAGCTCAGCACACCGAACGAGGCATCAATATTTAACGAGCCCGGGTGTGAA